TACAACACAAATGTAAAGAACAACAATAAAAAGAAACTGAACACTGTAAGCATAATAACCTGGAAAAGATGTTAGAAAATGCACCTCTCTTTTTTCACTGCAGAGGTGGGTAGACAATGGTGTGGAATATTTCATGCACAATCACATAAGGTTAATATGAGTTTGGTTGAACTGTCTTCTTCTTTTTAAATCTTTTTATAAAGGATAGCTCTTGGTAGGATAGTGAAAGACCTATTTTCATAAATTAATGTGATGTAAAAACAAGAGATATCAATTAAAAGTTTTAAAAAAGAAAAGACATGCTCAACTTTGTGAGACAGGTAACTTTGAGATGAAGCCTGATTCCCTTGATTATCACCACATTCCAGCTCTTTTGTCATTTCATGTCCTGGATTAGAAATAGAAGTTAGAAATATCCTGGATTACAGTTAGATTTTATATTTTTCATGTGATGTTTCTATCCTGGATGTTTGAATCTTTGTTCTCCATCACTGAAATTTCCAACTTTGACAATAGTATGTCTGGATTAATTTAGGATTTTGTTTATGAATGTAGGATTCAATTCCGCTGCTCTCCTGTGGAGTCTTGTCAATCAGAATTCTGGACCTCACTGGCAATAACTCAAAGATGTATTTCTGCATGACTTCCTGAAATATGGCATGGTATGGTGTTATAAGAGCATGACTGGAAGCCAGAGAGCCTGAATTTGAATCCTGGCTCTAAATAAGTCTTATCTCAAAGACTCAGGTTCCTCATTTTAAATACAGAAAATTGGATTAGATTAATGGTTCTCAAAGTGAGGCCTAGGAATACCTGGGGGGTTCCTAAAAACCTTTGAGGGGAGTGTGAGATAAAAACTATTGGTTCACAATTATAGTAATATATTATTGTCTTTGTCACACTCATTCTCTCACAAAGGTACAGTGGAATTTTCTTTCTTTTTTGGGGGGGTTAGGCAATTGGGGTTAAGTGACTTGCCTAGGGTCACACAGCTAGTAAGTGTCAAATGTGTGGTCTGAGGCCAGATTTGAACTCAGGTCCTCCTGACTTCAGGGCTGGTGCTCTATCTACTGCGCCACCTAGCTGCCCCTTACAGTGGGATTTTCCAGAGGCTACATGAGCAATTGCAAACATGAATACTAATAATTTCATCTGCAAAATTATACTTACAAATGGACTAATCTACAGGCATTGCTGGTCTTGGTGATTTGCTTGTATTCATCCGGTCTCAGCACTAATTAATCACAGAAGACCTTCTTTTATATAAATACTTGGCAGCAAACAAAAGGTGGTGGAAAGAGTGGAAGGAATAAGGGGGATATTTAAGGTGCTGAATAACTTTTCTGAATCTCATGGTTTATCTTGAATAACTATGTTGACTTTTATTTGTACTGATGGTAGAAAAACAGTGGTGGGTAAAACTGCTAGCACCTTCGCATAAATGAAGACAGGAGTACCAACCTATACTAGAAATCACTGTATTATTCACTACCATGAACTTGCAATTAGTCAGTTTCACTTAAGAATGTCCCAGATGAAGCAATAAAAATTGTTAATTTTATTAAATGTTAACTCCTGAGCACGTCTTTTTAATATTTTGTGTGACGAAATGGGAAGTACACATAAAATACTTATAGCTGCATACCTAAAACAATGGATGTCTTGAGGAAAAGCACTTGTGTGACCATTTGAGTTGAGAGTTGAACTAGTCGCCCTTTTTCACCATTTTTACTTGAAAAAAAATGACAACCTACAGTTATTCAGACTTGGCTATCTGGAAGACATTTTCTCAAAAATGAACAAAGTGAGCTTTTTATTGCAAGGAAAACAACTGACAGTGTTTGTTGCCAATGACAAAATTAGATCCTGTAAGCAAAAATCAGAATTTTGGAGAATATTTATGTACCATCATGAGCTTGACAGCTTTTTCATATTTAAAGATGTTTCTGATGGGACAGATGATATTATTCAATAAGATTTTTTTGATATTATATTATAAAATGTGACAACATTTGAAAGATTTAGATAACTCACCAAACCACTATTTTCCAAATAACTAATGTGTAAGGTTACAAAATTATGAATGCGTAAAAGATATATTCAAAATGCATGACAGACCAATAAATAATACAAAAAGTTTACTGATGTGGTTTTAGATTCCACATTGCAACTAACCTTAAAAAATTACCACTTGTTGAGTTCTGGTATAGTATCAAAGAAAAATATCCAAAATTATCAGAAAGAGCTATTAAAATATTCCTCACTATTCCAGCTACTTATCTGTGTGAGGCTGGATTTTCTTCACATACTTCAAACAAAACAACTTATCAAAACAGACTGTAGGCAGAAATAATTTCTATCATGGTAAATATTGATAGATAATAAACAAAAGCTCCTGAGGGTCCTGAATAATTATTAAAAGTGTAAAGAGAGGGAGGAAAAAATCAAGCAAAAAGCTCACAGTAGAGAACAAAAGAAAACATAGAAGGAAGCAAACAAATGCTAAGTAGCTTTGAAAACAATGTGTTGTATTTATTATATAGGTTTTCTTGAAATGGAAATTTATTATTCTATACTGAATCCTCTCCTGTGTTCTGCTGTGGACATGGACTCTTTTTTCTTTTCTTGTTCTGTATTTGTTTAAAATGAACAAAAAATTTACCCAAAAAAAAAAAAATGTAAAGACAACCAGAGACCCAAAAGTGTGAAAATCGCTGGATGAGATAATCTCTAGGGTCCCCTCCAGCTCAAAATCTATGGTTCTTCCCCTCTTCATTCATTTTTTTTCTTAACAGAACAATAAATTTAAGAGTCTCTCAGTTCTATCTACTTCTGTTACCCTTCAAAGAGTTTTCAAATTTTCTTCCAGTTGTTTTGATTTCTGATTTCCTTTTCTTGTTCTGCCACTTTAGTCTTTCAACCAGAACAAATCTATTCCCAATCCACCAATTTTATTAAGATTCTCTTACAATTATGCAAAGATATTCAGTTTCATTCTTCTTCTGTGGTCACTCTTTCAATGATTGAAATTTTCTGTTTACACATACCAGATCCTCCTTTATTTCTTTTTTCTTTTTCTTTTTTTTAATTGGGCCAGCTACTCAATTTAGGATTAGAGAGTTGCTTTGGGCACTGAGAAGTTAAGTGACTTGCCCAGGATTGTTGAGGAAGTATAGTAAGGGTCAAAATTCTAATCCAAATCTTCTGGACTACAAGGTCAGCTCTCTATCCGCTAGTCCATACTGCTTCTAACATTGATTCCTGGTCTTAAGAGTCAGGAAAGTCTGAGTCCAAATTCTGTTGTAGACGCTTATTTGTTATGTGACCTTGGGCAAGTCACTTATATCCTCTTAGTCTCAGTTTCCTCAACTGTAACATAGGAATAATAATAAGGATCAAAAAAGATATTTGTAAAGTGCTCTGTAAACCTTACAATGCTATAAATGCTAGTTATTACCATCATCATTATTATTTTTTGAGTTTATTACACAGACTGAAATTGCTTCTGATAGACCCAGTTCCATTTCTGATGCTATTCCCCTTCCCTTCTCCACATCCTCTCAAACCCCATTCTTATTCTGTCTTGGGTTTCTACCCAGTTATCTTCTCCTGTGTACCTTGTACTCTTCATATTTATCTTCATGTTGGAGATATTTTTTTGTTCCCCATCTCCTCTGTTCATATTTTTTGTTTTCTGTAAGGCAATTTTTATTAAAGCATTTTGTTTTTCTTTTTTCCTTTTGCTTCAATTGGCATATTTGGTGCTGTTTTTGAGGTGATAAAGGTGAAATGAGATTTCTCATAACATCTTACTCTACTCTCCTGCTGTAAGTCTCCCCAATTTAATCAGTAACTTCTGAAGTAGCCTCATTAAAAACCAAACCAAACCAAACCAAACCTCAAGGTTCTTTATTTTAGTCTTTCTACATAATGCTGAATTAAGGGATTTTGAAAGCATACTAGAACAACCTGTACACCAAGGCAAACTTTTCCATAAAAGATAAACTCCAAAATAATTCAAGAAACTATGTGATAGAGTGAGACCTAGTCTAAGAATGATAGTGGGGCAGCTAGGTGGCACAGTGGATAACACACCAGCCCTGGAGTTAGGAAGACCTGAGTTCAAATCTGTCTTCAGACACTTGACACTTAACTAGTTGGGTGACCCTGGGCAAGTTACTTAACTCCACTGCCTAGTCAAAAAAAAAAATAATAATAATTAAAAAAAAAAAGATAGTGATAAATTCTAGCTACCATGCTTGAAGGTCCTTAAGAAAAATTATTCAGCTAACTTTAATCCTATATAGGCTGTTGCTTAAAAAGGACACAAATACTTTCCTTACTCAAAATGATATGATTATAAAAGAATATCAAAGATAATTTGATATAGTTCTACTACAGGTGAAATCCTATTAAAAGAAATTGCTAATCATGAGGAAACTGGGGCACTGAGAGATTAAATGACTTGCCCATAGGGCAGTGCCTAGATTAGATTCAGGTCTTAATCCAATACACTTAGATGAAAAAAAAAAAGATTTTTGTATTATGAACTTGATAGTTATATTTCCACAAGCAAAGAAAAGAGAATTGCTTATAAAACTGTGAACCTAATACATACAGCATTTTTCAAAAGTAAACATTAAATTAATATGGTAATATCAATGCCATCTTTATCTGTGTCCCTTTCTAAACTTCATTTTGTTCTCGTATTTTTTTCAGCGTGCCTTTCAGTTAAGTTATATGGTCTCTCTACACTTTGAAAAACATAGATTGGTGGGAAATAGAAGTCATTTGTTAGGGAAAGATTTTCAATGTAATATTAGCTGCTAATATCTTTAACAATTAGATCTGTATTTACTAAATAATTCAATCATATCAGAGGAAAAAAATAACTAAAAAGACCGTATTTTCTTCATCACAAATAAAGAAGAAACTAAATTCAGGTATTCCAGGTAAAACTGAATTGGTGACGAATATAACTCCACACTTTTTTACTTTACCTGAATATCTTGCAGGCAAATTTCATGTGCATCCAATGAACACTGAAGTCTTGGTTCCAGTAGTTTCTTAAGATTCCCTATTGGTTCATTGATGTCTATGGCCTGACTCACACATTCTGCAGGAGTGTAGGTCTGCTCTACAATGCTAAATATCAAAGGATACAAAGGTTAACAGTTGAATTCCTTGTTGAGAAAATAACTTTAAAGAAATATTAACTTACCAATATAACTCAGCAACGTCTTAAGACATATTTTAAAATATTCCCAAATTATCAGTAAGTATCTGTGCCCACCTCCCTCTTGATATATATGTAATGGGAATATTACATTTAGATAATAAAGCATCCTGTTTTTAAATTACTTGAGTTTTTTTGTAGAGAAAGATTAACTCCTTTCCCAAAATCTGAATGTAGACCATTGCAATACAAATGCATCTAAGTAACATAAACTGTATCAACTTTCAATAGACATACAAGCCCAAATACTGTCACTAAAAACCTGTATGATCATCAATTTACTAAATAGATTACTTCATCAATAAGAACATGAAATTCTAGAAAAATGAACATAATAAATATATTTGACAAAGTCAAAGAACGGAGAACTCTGGTAAAGTACTCTATTTACAACACACAGGTTACCAGTAACTCCTTTTCACTCATATAGCTACTACTTTCATTTAGGCATTCTCATTAATAAGAAAGTCTGCTAATTGATCTTCTTGCCTTCAATTTCTCCCCTCTCCAAAACCCTTCACAGATATGTGAAACTGTAAGTCTTACTATACCTTCTCTGACAGAAAACTTTTAGTGACAACTCTTTAACATATATGCCTTTAGGCTATCAAAGTCCTCAACAATTTGCCATCAAACTCTGAAACCTTTCCTTATTTCTAATTACATACCTTCCCACCCTCTCCGTTCCAGGCAAACTTCATTACTATTTCCCCAATCCTATTATATACTATGGTCTGTATATGGGCCTCAATTTCTTCCTTTATAAAATAAAGAGATCAGGAGATTACCAAGGTCCAAGGTCCCTCCTAACTCTAAATCTATTATCTATCAACAAATACTACTGAAAAGTTAAATACAGCAAAATACAAGAGATATCACAAGGAAAATAAATGCCTGTTGAAATTAAATTAACTCAAGTTCTAGCACAGGCACTCACCTCCCCATGAAGCCTCCCTTTCACAGCCCATGAAGCCTCCCTTTCACAGCCCCACAGCTTAAAATGATTTTTCTTCAAATGTTCTTGGGAGTACTTTGTCTGGATTTCTCCTGTTCCAGTTTCACATTCCATCTTCTATAATATTTGTGTATACAACATACATACCTATTTATATCCCTTTGAGACATAACTATCATCTTCAATCTTTGTATCAATAGTACCTGGCACTATTCCTTTTAAACATCTGTGCTTAATAAATGCTAGCTAACTATTTAATCAATGTTTGCTTACTTGAAACGGATTTCAAATCATAATACAAAAAACTCAATAAAAGAATGCAAAGTACAAGTTATTTCAGAAAGTACTTTAAAATCTTCATTATAATCACAATTAACATTAACTATAACTGTAGTTTAAGTTGGACAAAGTGCCAAAGTGGTTAGGTAAGTTTTTCTTCTAGATGGCTACATAAGGGGCAGCTAGGTGGCACAGTGGATAAAGCACTGGCTCTGAAGTCAGAAGGACCTCAGTTCAAATCCGGCCTCAGACCAAACACTTGACGCTTACTAGCTGTGTGACCCTAGGCAAGTCACTTAACCCCACTGCCTAAAAATAAATAAATGGCCTCTTCCCTACATCTTCCAAACTAAACACTGTGGTGCATTTGAAAACGTACAGGATGTGGCATCACTCAGTTAATCAATAAACATTTATTAAGCACCTCTTATGTGCCAGGTATTGTGCTAGGCACTGGGGAATACAAATAAGCTAGAGATATAAATACAAAAAGAAAAATGGTCCCCACCCTCCAGAAGCTTAAAATCCAATGGGAGAAGACAACCCACGAAAGGAAGCAGAAAAGGAAGAAGGTACTAGATCAAGGGTATGACAAAATCATCCCCTTTTCAGTTTCCTTTTGTGGGCTGTCTCAAGGATATGATGAGTTCAATCCAAAGGTGTACAGTGGTTGAAAATGAAGATATGGTTGGCGTGGGATCCCTCTACAACTTTCAGAGAAGTTCTTTGTATCACCCTCCAGTCCCCCAATCAAAGGAGAAAAGGGTACTGATGAGTTATAGATATCAAAGCTGATGCAAACTTGAAGGATGAGGAGTTTCTTGATGGTAAGGTTTCCTGGGGCCTTGATGGAGTCCAGTTCAAAAGGGTGCAGCTGGTGGGAAAAACCAGAGTAACTGGTTTTGAATTCAGAGGATTATTGCCCATTTCCTCATCTGTAACATGAGGGGATTGGACTAGATGACTTCTAAAGTACCTTCTAGCTCTAAAGCAATGATCTATTAACACATAGTATTGAAAAGTTTAATAAAGATACAAACACGTATCTATTAGTGATATCACAAGGTAAATGTCAAATGATGATTCAGACAGTAAATAACACTGAATTCCAAAAATATTATTTGCTGTGAAAAGAGTCACATGCTACTGAATGGAGCAAGAAGAAATCATAAAAGCCAGGCCAAAAGAGTCCAATACACATTTATGTTACTTAAACTCAACTGGGCCCTCCCTGCAGGAGACATTCTCCCTAACTGATTCGCTATCCTACTCTCTATCCACAGTGGTTGTTTCAAAACGTATTATCTTTCTCTCTGTGCTCCCCACACCCCAATCCTTTCAGCTAGGAACTTTGACTCATACTACACCCCTCCCCCCATACCATTTGCCAATAGCTCCACCTTCTCATCCTGTCACTCAAAATCTTTCTTCATTATATCTTTTCCTACACTTATGTTCTTGTAAAGAGTTGACCTAAGGGCTTGTTAAGGCCAGTTTCTTGATCCCATCCTCCCATTTTCTCCAATAGATTGCCCCTATCATTCCCACTCTTTCTCTAAGCTTCCATCTCTATCTACTGATTGCTTCCCTGCTGCCATGCCTCATCTCATTTGATCCAAAGTCCCTCTATCATCCTGTCTCCTTCCCTTCCTGGCTAACCTCCTTAAGAAAACCATCTATGCCAGTCATCTCCATTTCTCCTCTCAGTCACTCCTCAACCCTTTGCAATCTGGCTTCCAACCTCGTCATTCAACTGAAACTGTTCTCTCTAATGTTACTAATGATCTCTAAATTGCCACATCTAAGTGTCTCTTCTTAATCCTAATTGCTACCCCAACCCTGCCCTCTCTGTAGCCTGATACTGTTAAGACCTTCTCCACCTGGACACTCTTTTCCTCTCTGGGTTCTCGTGACACTGATTTCTCCCGGTTCTCTTACCTATCCAACACTTCCTTCTCAGTCTCCTTTGTTGATTCTTCATACATATTGTTCTCACTAATTGCAGGTATTCCCCAAGGTTCTGTCCTGGGACCTCTTTTCTGTTTGCTCCATACTGCCTCATGCGATCCAATCGTCAATCTCTACATGATTTCCAGGTGTACATACTGTTATTTGTCCTTCGTTTTCAAAGAGGACCAATGACATCACAGGGCGATGTTCTGACTCATGCATGAATTGGATTTAAGTGAGGCAAAGCTGCATAAGTCATCAGCCTCACTCTTTTTTCCAGAGTCATCAAAGTCCAATGGCAGCACAAAAGTCAAGACAACTGGCAATGGCCCAGGATGCAGTGCATAACCTTGGCATATTCAATGCCTGACCAAGTTCTCCACAATACCTGCTTCAGTTACCTTCATGGCCCTTGAAACAAATTGTTCTTACTCACTTCGGAAGTCTTCACATGCTTGGGGTAGACATCCTCCTAATTCACTGACAGGTTTAAGGCCTCTGGGTTACCTTTAACCTGGTTTAGTCTGTTGCCTGACCTCAAGTTTAACATCCTCCAGTGCCTCTTGTGTCTTTGTCCCATGCAATGTCCCATAGATATCTGAAACTCAACATATCTAACGTGGAACTCAATACCCTGCCCCCCCCCCCAATCTCCAAACCTCCTCCTTTCTGAACTACCTTATTACTACTGAAAACACCATCCTCCCAATAGCTTAGGCTCGAGACCTCAGTTTGATTCTCGACTCCTCACTCTCACTTACTCCTCATATCCAATTTATTGTCAAATCTTGTCTTGCTACCTTTACAATATCTCTCATATATGTCCCCTTCTCTTCACTCATACATCTACCACCTTTTTTAGGCTCTCATTAACTCTCACCTAGACTAGAATAGTTTTCTAACTGGGCTCAAGTCTCTCCTCACTCCAATCCACCCATCATTCAACTGTTAAGGTCATTTTTTGAAAGCATAGGTCTATGTTTCCATTCTGTTCAATGAATGCCAGTGACTCCTATTTCTTCCAGGATCCAATATAAACTTCTTTACTTGGCATTTAAAGCTCTTCTAACCTGACCCTTTCTTTTCTTTCCAGTCTTCCTACATTTTACTCCTTTCTATGCCCCCTACAATTTGGCTACACAGCCTATATGCAATTTCTGGAACACAACATTCCATCTCTCATTTCTTCGCTTTTGAGCTAGCTGTATACCATACCTGTAAGGCTCTGCCCCCTCACCTTCATCCCTTGGTTCTAATTTTCTTTAAGACTCAGCTTAATTGCTACTTTCTCTAAGGTTTTCCTGTTCTCTCCAGCTGCTAATGCCTTCCCCTCTCAGAATGCCTTCCATCTATTCTGTAAATATCTTGTATTTATCTAGTTATTTACACATTGTCTCTTCCATTAGAATATGAGGCCCATGAGGTCAAAGACTGTTTTTGTCTTTTTCTCTATCCTCAGAGCTTAACACCATGCCTGCAACATAGTAAACACTTAATAAAAGCTTGTTAAATGATTAAAAGATCATTGGAAGACTTCACTTTTAGTATTCAGTATTACTATATCCCTGAGGATGTTGCTGAGAACCGTACTCTCACAGCAGGGTAGGGCCCAGGAAGGTGCTAAGCCTGGACCTACTGGTGCCAAGATCCTTTATGAAGGCAATATTCCCAGTGGGCTGCTTTCCTTGCAACTGTTAGCTCTGGTCCTTGTGAAGATTTGGACACTCAACTGCTCCAATGCTTCATTTTCAGATGGTTTCATTTATTGTGGGCTTATATCCTTTGCTGTTCCTCTGCTGTATTCTTTGCTGTTAATTCTGTCTCTGGTGACTCTTGGAAACATGGGTTGTTTGGACAGTCTTGAGTGGATTATCAGTATGGACTTCATTGAGTGGTTGGGAGCCTGAAGGTTCAATGACTAGACTATCAAGGAGGGCTTTTGGAAGAACTTTGCTGATGGGTGTATTCTGGCAGATCCATTAGCATTAGTCATTGACTACGTATTTCCTTGGCTGGATGGAATAATGCTGTGAACAAACTATTTCCTTATGACCACCTCTCTATCATTTTCTTTGATCAAGGCACCCACCTTTTCTTTACCAAGCTGTTCCCTTCAAACTCATGTTTACCTGTCTCCCAGGAAAGTTGAGACAAATCATTTCTCTGAGAACCAAGAGATGGCCTTCAGGGCCATCTGAAAGAAAGCCAAGAGATGGCTTTCAGCCCCCCATAAGCCAACAGGGGGGCTTAACATTGAAAGGAAGGATAGTAGACTGACCACTCGGGAGAGGTGTTACCCAATTTTTTTTGCCTAGTTAAGGGCTGGGCAACAAGACCCTCAAGAAATTTCAGAATCATTATATACTGAGCTGACAAAGGCAAATTCAATGGGTAAATATCTTAAGAGAGGTAAGCACTTAATAAATGTTTGTTGACTGATAGCCAGGAGACCAGTAGAAGAGTGAGAAAAGAGACAGCATCTCAGGCCACATGATAAGTTGAAACAAGAGAATTAGACATCCTTAGCTTCTGCTTTCAGATTTTATATTTTGGAGATGTTTGAGTGCAGACATATCTTGAGTCCTGATAGCCAGTTTTTTGTTTCCGGCTGCTGTCATCCTGGGGCCATCTTTGAATGGTCTCCAGTTCTATTGTGACTTTGTCATGTTTATGATTTGGTAACACCACAGCCGTTCTGACTTTGAAGGGTGTCTATATTTTTTGGCTTTGATAGCTTCTTTTCCTTTGCTGAGAGTGTACCTTATGCACTCCTCCCCTTGGGTGTTTTGTCTGCAAGCACTTAGAACCCAAGTGTATATTATTTACTCCTAGGTATGAAATATAGTCTTGGTCCTGGTATGAACACAAAAATGAGACTAATAGCAACTGGGTAGGATATCTCAGGTGTTATTTATTTTGCTTAGGCTCTGGTCCCCCAAGTGGCTGATTAAGCTACAAGGCATTAATGATTTTTAACTTTTTTTTTTTTTTGATTAGGCAATGGGATTAAGCCCAGGATCACACAGCTATTAAGTGTTATGTGTCTGAGGCCACATTTGAACTCAGGTCCTCCTGAATCCAGGGCAAGTACTCTATCCACTGCGCCACCAAGCTGCCCCCAAGGCATTAATGATTTTTAGCATATTTGTAGCCATCTGTCATGGACAACTAGAATGGAAATAAGTCTTCTTGGAATTAACATTTATATCAAATGTTCTCAGAAATGTTCTTAGTTGCTAATTCCTCCCCCTCTCAGACTGTCTTTCATTTATTCTGTAAATATCCTATACCCACCTAGTTATTTACAGGTTCCTCCTCCATTAGAATGTGAGGCCCATGAGGTCAGGGACTAGTTTCACTTTACTTTATCTGCAGAGCTTGTCTATCACATAGTAAGTACTTAATAAAAGCTTGCTGACTGACTGAAAGATCATTGGAAGACCCCTGATTTGCTCAAACCAGCCTTCACTATTTATATGTAGTACTACATGGCTGGGAATGTTGCTGAAATTTGTACCTTAGAAGGAGTAGGAGCAGGAGCTTCTCAGAATGATCAAGCTGCTTATGTCCATGACCCAAGTATGTTCCATTCAGAAAGGATAGGAAGAATTGCACCTGTGTTTAGTCTTATTGTTTGCTTATATTCAGTAAAAAGCTTTTTTAATGTAATATTTTTCTCCCAATTACATGTAAAAACAATTTTTAACATTCATTTTTTGGAACTTTGAGTTTCAAATTCTCTCACTCCCTCTCCTCCCTCCTCAGTAAGAAGTAAAAAGTTGTTTGGTTTTTTTAAAAATTATCTGCTGCATGATTCAATCTTTCCAGATTGTAAATTTAGGGGCCAATCTGTCCCTGGTAGCTACTCTGGACCAGAAATTTTCAGAACCAAAAAAGCCCTTAGAAATCATCTAGTCTGATGGTTATTAAACTCAAATAGAAACAGGAACCAATAAACCATACAAAAAGATGCCTGCAGGACAAATATGGCTTATATTTTACAATTCAATATTATCTATGTTTTATTGTATTTTTGCTTTTTTTGTTAAATATTTCCCAATTACATTTTCATCTGGTTTAGGCCACACTAGGGAGTGTTATGGGTTGCAAGCAGTCCATAGGCTACATTTTGATACCTCTGATTTGGTCTAGCCCCTTGATTGCATAAGAAGAAACTAAGGTCCAAAAGTCGATCAAGGTTAAACAGCAGGGCAGTGACAAGTGGAACTGAGAATCTAGGTTTCTGTTTTTGGTAAACTGTGATGTAGAATCTTAATATGCTGTTTTAATCTTAATCCAGAGCTTGAAATTCTGTTGTGCATCTATGTATGAGCCCCCAAATTTAGGAGCAAGAAAAATAAGTCACATTATACCAATGGGGTATAAGAAAGAAGATGATGACAAAAGTTTAAAATTGAATGACTGCATGTTCACATTTACATCAAATACTAACTGTTTAGAAATATGCAATCTAGTTTTTGTCATTTGATAAGCCCTATCTTCAGTTATATAGTGAACAAAAAAGCCTAGAAGCAGCTACCTACTCAGCAGACTTGCCAGATTTTATAAATACATTCTGAAAGCAGATCTGTTAAAAATTTTCTGAATAAAGTAGTCAGTTTTGAGAAAAGGCCCCACATAAATAAACTGGGGGCAGAAGAGAGTATAACTAATACAACTAGTAATTCTCAACCACTAAGATGTTAGATTCTTATTCATGTTTCTGCTTCTTTAGTTTCTGGTCATTTTTTCCCCTCCTTCACAAAGGACTTCATTTATACATGGAGGCTTGGTGAGGAATTTCTTTCTCCGAATGCAGGCCAGCTCCTTCTCTGTTAACTTGAAGTCTTAGAAAGTTGTCTAGAGAACTGAGAGATTAAGTAATATGACCAGGGTAACAAAACCTGAAGTAGTCAGAGGCAAGACATGAACTCAGAGTATTCCTGGCTACAAGATCAACTCTCTATACACTATAGCACACTACCTATTTAATCAAGAGAAACACCAGTAAATAAACCCCGTGCTGCTTTTAGTCAATAAAAACTTTGGTTTGATTTCAGTGAGGAACATTAAATGATGCAAATGAAGATTAATACAATTTGTACCTTTCTTCTGTGCATTCTTGTTTCTCTGTTCCATCAATTTCAATTTCTATCAGCTCTTCTGCTTCTCTTTTAGTCATGGCTGGAAAAAAGAGAAAACAGTCCTGCAATAGTTAGATTTTTAAAGTCTAAATCTAAACACAACAGAACTGCTGATACAGACTGAAAATATAAACCAGATCATAATATGCATTTTCTCCAAAATTTCTTACCTGAGGCTTAGCCTAGCTACATTCACAATGCAATATACAGTGATAGAAAGAATAGCCAATCCATTCAATCATTGGATAGACATATAATTTTTTAAGTCACAATAACTCAATTTGTATTTGTCCTTTAAAGTCTACAAAGCATTTTAGTCACAACAACCCTGTGGGATAGGTATACAAGTACATAAAGTAATTCCAAAATCTGTTTCATATTTTGGGGGATAAAAAACTCATATTAAGACTGAATACACAAGCAACACTTTTTATAAAACAGAATTTTTTGGTTGGTTGGTTCCTAAGTGCCTTATATAACTGCCCAAAATAAAACTTATTTCAATATTTCCAAGACCTATGATTTTATCAAAGTGGATTGTAAACCATATATCTAGTGAATTCAGGAAGAGAGTATATATGCACTTCCCCCTGCTTCCCCCAAGATACCTTGCTTTCTAGCGATCTAAAAAAAGAAATTTCTATTTGCCTACAGGTTGGATGCCACCAAAGTCCTACCAATAAAGTAGTGCTTTCTATATACGGAAAGTCTATGGGGGTAGTAAGCTATAATTATATTTTCGACCATCCCATTTTCTCTGCCCAGTGGTTACAGAAAATATTCCTGGGAAGCATCTGCCTGGTATGTATCTTATTATCAAGGAGATCCAAATTCTAGGGTGGTATGCAGTTCATGAAGAGAGCTCAAATCAGGGAAAACAACATTTGGCATTTTTACTAAGGAAGGAGGCACCTTTCAAATTCCACAAGTTAGTATCTTTTTCTGAGGCAAAAAATGAGAATAGTGTACAACATTACTCCTGAAGAAAAACATTATAGAAAAGGAGGTATATACAGGCTTTGAGAAGATGATGCTTTAAAAGAGGTTTAAAATGAACTCAGTTAGATACAAGTGTTTTGACTCAATTTCCATACTTTCTCTTCTTCCCAAATCAGATTTGACTTCACTGTACAAGAAACATATTCTGGCTCAGTGATTTAGTTGACAGGAGACAGATAAAGACTAGTGCACTTCTAAAACATCAGTAACATTTGATGCTTTAATAATTAAGTCTCAGTTCTGCTGCTAGGATGACCTTGGTGCAGTCATTTAACTTTTTTGAGCTTCAGTTTCCTCATGGACAGAATGAAGGTACTGAACTTGATGACCTCTCAGGTCAACTCATTTTGAAGTTACTTTTTTTTTCTCAAATAAAAAGAACTATAAGTGAGTTTTGTAATACTCTGAGTTACATCTGGGCCTCAAAACTCTGAATTTTATTATTTGGGGTAGTGTTCTGATAGCTGAAGGGAATGAGTTGGGGATTTCTAGTAAGGTTCATTGGTTGGTGAGGTATGTGTTTTTAATTACATTAAATATTAATAGTGCTGAGACTATTGCTTGAGTGAAGGACTGGAATGCTGATTCTTTTGATGGAGGTAATGTTTTTTAATGAGGAGGGAGATACTTATCTGAAGTCCTTTTCAAATTAATCAGTGGGTTACTAAACATGGTTAAGTATTGGGCCCTGAGAATATAACTTGATACAAGGGAAACAGTAGTAGGGAAAAGATATAAACCTATTATTTTTAGGATGGGGAGGAGGGGAGGAGGGGAGGAAAGGAATAAGCATTTATTAAGGACATACTACATGCCAGGCACTGTGCTAAGCACTTCACAGATATTATCTCATCTGATTATGAGTCAAATAGCTTAACTTAGTTGGCTGTATTAGGATGTGGGACAAAATGAAGCACTGAGAATTTTTAATTCTTTAAAGTAGGTTTATATCTTTATTAATGTAGAAATAAAGGTTGTAGTGGCTGCCACATTTTCTCCCAAGCCTTGGACCTAAGGGGTTGAGTAGCACATGTCATCATTAGAAATTCAAGCCCTGTACCCACCTCCTTGAAATGGTTATAAACCAGAGACTAAGAAGGAGGACACAGGTAGCACCATAACAGGGTACTGTTTTTTAGAGACACAAGTAGCCTGTTCAAGTTCCAAATTAGGCAATAGAACCCTGTTCTCTTTACTGATTGGCTTAATATACTGAGGCTCTTCCTTTGGTGATAATAATAATAATAACGGAAAATATTTACATAGCAATTACTATGGGCCAGGTACTGTTCTAAGTGCTTTACAAGGATTATCTCATTTCATATGAAGAATTCCTCATGATTGAGGGCCAACAAAGGGAAAATAGTGAAAAGCAACAGTGATAAGCAGGGGGAGAGAAACAAATTTGCAGAAAGCTTGGCCAGAAACCTCAAAAAACCTTATCAAAGCACCTTTTAAACTGTTAAGGATGAAAATAGGTTAAAAAAAAAGACAAAAAATGGAAGACACTTGCATATAAAGATTGTTATAACAAACTTTTTTTCTGTAATGACAGTGGAGCCATCACATTTGAACTCTAGTATAATGATAGTCCTTGATATGCTGCAAAAGGAAGTTAAACTGGTAAAACTAAGATGTGAAGAGTGGAGCTGGACCACAGAGGAGTTTGTGCTGCAGAAAACAACTCTGAGGATGCTGAGGAACTGATTTTCAATGTATCTGAAAGAAGGGCAGTTACCAAACTTGCAGAACAAATCATGGACCAGAGAAGAACAAGAAAATATAATTACTAACTTTCTCATCTCTACAAAATCTTTATAATAATCTATACATGAATCAAGTTCATACCTCAAAATATGAAAAGAGAAGAGACAAGTTTGAGAAAATAACATTCTACAGACCAGTCAAAACTGATTGGAAAGTATAGAGAATATAAGATCCCACAGTGCTTACTGACTGTTAAGAAAGCATTTGATCAAAGAAGATAAAAAGGAAAATTTTAATTACATAAAATTTAAAAGTTTCTGCACAAATCCAATGAAGCTAAGATTAGAAAGGAAGCAATTAGGAAAAAAAATCTTTGTAACACATTTTCCCTGATAAAGGTCTCATTTCTTTTTTTGTTTACTTCATTCTTTTAGAATTTTTATTTTCATGAAAATTTGCCTCCTACTTCTTATGATCCCATTGAGGAAGCAAGAAAATCAATACCCCTATCACAAACATGTTTAGTCAAACAAAGCAAATTTCATTCTTTTCTTTTCTTTTTAGGCAGCTGGGGTTAAGTGACTTGCCCAAGGTCACACAGCTAGTAGGTGTCAAGCGTTTAGTCTGAGGCCAGATTTGAACTCAGGGCCTCCTGACTTCAGGGCCAGTGCTCTATCCACTGTGCCACCTAGCTGCCCCCAAAGCAAATTTCAGAAGTGAGCTTGTCCAAAAAAAATTTTTTCCATCTGTACTCTTACTCTATCACCTATCAGGAGATGGCATATTTCATTACAAGTCCTTTGGAATTGTGATTAATCATTGCTGGTTAGAGTTCCTAAGTCTTTCAAAGCTGTTTCTCTTTACTAATGGCTGTTGTAGTATAAATTGTTCTGGTCCTGCTCACTTCATTCTGCATCCGTTTATACATGAATCTTCTGGAGTTTCTCTGAAACTATCCCCTTCATAATTTCTTGTAGCACATTCACACGCTGTAACTCATTCAGTCACTTCTTCTACTGAGGAGTTTCCAATTCTTTACCACTATAAAAGAGCTGCTATAAATATTTTTTAATATATGAGTTATTTTCCTCTGATCTCTCTGGAGTACAGAACTGGTAGTGGTATTGCTGGGTCAAGAGTACACAAGTATAATTTTTGGACATAGTTCGAAATTGCTTTCTAAAATGACAAAGGTCTAATTTCTAAGATTTTAAGGAACTAATTTGAATTTATACGAACAAGAATCATTTGCCAATTGATAAATGGAAGAAGGATATAAATAGTTGTAAAGGAAAACTCTAAACCAGGGGTGGGGAACCCTCTAGGTCCTCAAGTGCAGCCCTTGACTGAATCCAAACTTCATAGAACAAATTCCCCTAATAAAAGAATTTGTTCTATAAAACTTGGACTCAGTCAAAAGGCTGCACCCAAGGACCTAGAAGTGTCCTCGTGTGGCCTTTCGGCCACAGATTCCCACCCCTGCATTAAATCATATGAAAAAAATGCTTGAAATCACTAATAACTAGAAAAATGCAAATTAAAGTAACTCTGAGGTTCTACCTCACACATGCCAGACTGGCAAAGAAGAAACTGACACATGCTGAAGGGTCTTTGGAAAAATGAGCACACTAATGCTCTGCTGGTGAAATGGCAATTACAGCCACTCTGAGATATCCCGACAGCTACAAAACCATATACCCTTTGACTCAGTGATGCCATTACGAGATTTATACCTCAAAAGGGCCACAGGGTGTGTTCAGGAACACTGGCAACTCTGGTGTGAGGGCTGCCGAGCCCTTTTCAGGGCTGCTTTCCACCTGTGGTGTCTACCTGATCCACCTTTCACCTATAGCTCCAAGGAGGAGTACCATGCACAGCAGCCACACCCCAGTAAACTTTTTAGCAGACAGGCTAAAGCAGGTTGAGGGTAACCCAGGGGTCTCAAATCCTTTGGTGAGTTGGGGGGAATGTCTAACCCAAGTATGTGAAGACTTTCCCTGGTGGAATGGGTGGATGAGAACAACCTGTTTAAACAGCCACAAAGGTGGCTGAAGCAGAGTCTGTGGAGTACTCACAGTTTGGTTAGACATGGAAGACACCAAGGTCATCTACTGAATCCTCTTAGTTAGAACTTGACTAAGCTCTGAGTGCCCCATCTAGTCTGCCTGACTTTGAGGCCCATTTGTTACCCTCAACCTAGTTTAGCAGCCTGTTGAGATGTTTTTTTACAAGGGTGTGAACACTGCACACATGCTACAACTTCTTGAAACCAAAAAGCCATGAAGGCAACTGAGGCAGGCTCTGTGGAGAGCTTAGAGTTTGGTCAGACATCTAATTTACTATATATTTTATAGCAGAAGTGTCAAACTCCATCCTCAAATGGTCTGCAAAACTCCCAAGTACAGCCTGAAACAGATTAAAATGTAACTGGGATATGTTTAACAAAATAAATACAAATGCAACATCTATAATGTTAATTTGTAGTTTTCTGGATCAGTTTTATTTGAATTTAACACCCCTGCTTTAGAGCAAAAGGAATGTAATAGATTCGCTGTTTCATTTTTTTTTTTATTTATGGAAATGCTCAAATTATCTGGTATTTTTAAATTTTTACAAAAGTAAGCTGAACCATATTGTAAAGGGCTTTAAATGCCATATTTATCTTAAGAGCCCTAGGGTGTCATTAAATATTCTTAAGCAATGTAATAGCATGGCCAAAACTATGTCTTACAAAAAGGGTAGCACTGTACAGTAGAAAAAGCACTGGATATGGAGTCAGAGAACCTATATCTCTATATTATATATATATATCTCTGTGTGTGTGTGTATATATACATATATGTAAAATATATATTAGAGAATTGATAAGACCTGTCAATAAAATACGGGGGTTTTAAGAGGAAAGGATCCAAGGTAATTCTGATATTGCTAATGGTGGGTGACTGACAGGATGGTGGTACCTTCAATTTGAGATGTCCATGAGATATCCAGATAGTTGTTCTGCAAGCAGTTGGATGTATATCAGCCTGGACTCCATCAGCTAGGTAGGTAATTTAGGAGTTTATCTAAAATAAGATGACAGTTGAACCCATGGGAGCTGATGAGACATATGTATACTAACAGAACAGAAGATATCTCAGTTCAAAACTCCACATAATTAAAGACCACAGATTGAACTGTTTTCTCCCTCTACTCCTACAGTAACTCCATTTTGAGGGAAAGGTCCAGCAAGGGGTAGGGAACCTATGGCCTTTCTATATCCTTGGATGCAGCCTTTTGACTGAGTCCAAGTTTTATAGAACAAATCCTTTTATTAAGGGAATTTGTTCTGTGAAGTTTGGATTCAGGCAAAGGGCTGAACTTGTGGACCTAGAAAGCCACATGGGGCCTCAAGGCAGCAGGCTCCTCACCCCTGGCCCAGACCATCTATCCTTCATTTTCTAGGCCTCATGCAGGTACCTCCAACCTTCCTACTTTTCAGCTCCTATTTGTGTTGTCTTCTCTTTCTGAGGCAGGGACTTTTTTTTTTTTTTTTTTGCTTTTGTCTCTATGCCCAGTGCTTAGCACAGTACCTGGCACACAATAAGTACCTAATGCTTGTTGACTTACTTATACATAGGTGATAGAATGGAAAAACCTGGAGAGAATATCCATAAAGAAGGGATATTCTAGAGTGTCAATTCCTACAGAGAGATAATGAAGTATGAAGACTGAGGAAAAAGTCACTGGTTTTCAGCATAAAGAGTTCATTAGTGACCTTGTAGAAACCTATTTTACTTCAGTGGTAAGAAATGGGAAGAAAATGCAAGGATTTGAGGAGCAGAAGAGACAGTACAGCAGCAGTTCAGCTGTTTTTCTATAAGTGTGGCTATTTAAGGGTGAAGTAAAAGTCTCCAGACTTTAAAGCTAATCAAAACAGTTATTTACCCTGTGCTTTGCAGTTGCCCTTTTCCCTAGAAATAACACCTTCCTTCCCTACCTTAATCGACTCAGCTTTGGTACTTCATCTGGAAGTTGAGATATCCAGATTGTTGGATGTATGAAAATTCACCTAATCAACCACAGACTATATAGAGAGGGCACCAGACTACACTTCATCCATCAGGAAAATAGGGCCTCACATCTTGAAATCTGTCCTGATTCCAAAAGGAGCAGTGACTGCTAGCACCCTTCTCTCCTTTTTGCCCTGGGGAACGGTAATCAAATCAACATTACCATTGCTACTACAAAACGTTATGACTCTATTCAGAGGCAGTTGGATGGATAGAGCCCTAGGTCTGAAGTTAGCAAGACCTGAGTTCAAATCCAGCTTCAGACACTTAATACTGGTGAAACCCTGGGCAAGTCACTTAACCTCTGCCTGCCTCAGCTTCCTCAACTGTTAAACAGGGAAAATAATAGCACCTACCTCACGGGGTTGTAATAAGGATCAAATTGGAGAATATTTGTAAAGCACTCAACTCGAGTGCCTAGCATGCAGTAGGCACTACATAAATGCTTATTCTCTTCTCTACACCCTACTCACAATCACTATTAATTCACTAACCATAACTTTCATCCTTGTATTAGTATGTTCTATTCCTCCCACATCCCCTCAACCCCCTCGAAGGTTCGAAGTGACTCATTTTTACATTTGTCACTCCATGCTTACAGTGCCTGGCATACAGTTGGTGGTCTGCCCTCTTTTGATATCTTTGATCTTAATTCCTTCCTCCAAATCACATCTGCAATTACCCTTAAATAACCATCTATCTCACAGATACTTAACACCGGCTTCACAATAGCCAAATAACCTAACTGACCTCTTCTGGCCTCAGTTTCCTCATCTCAGCTATAAAATGAGGAAATACTTTATATCACTTAAAAGTATTTTTCAGCTTTAAATCTTAAGATATGAGATCCAAATTACCCTTTATTTGATTGTACAACATCAGAGTGATAACTTTCTCGGTTTTTAATCTCTGATAAACGCTCAGAGAGGAATCATTAGATAAACATTAGATGCGAATTACTGGGTAAAGATCAAGTAAGAAAAAGTATTCACTGCCTTCGGGGAGTTAATAATGTAAACTTTAGATTATACTTTATAACAGGCTTCCAGATATAAAAGGATGCAGGAAACAAAAGAAAAATTAAAGTTTCCAAAACTACCCGCCTCCATTCCTTTCATGAAAGAGCAAGCTCGGGCACCTCACAAGAAGTTGTTTTGGTGGCAGCTCCAATCTCCAGGGGCCCCGGAATGATTTAAACGCTAAACTGCCTCCATCCAGGCGAGGGGACCCCGGGAAGCCCCGGTGCACACGCGGCGCCACGAGCCCAAACGTCTGGCGGGGGAGGCTGTCCCCCGCCGCGCTGGGAAGAGTGACACCGGGCGTCACCAAGAGGGAGGTGGGAGGGGAAGGGGGAGGCGAATGGAGCTGAGGAGGGTGGGGGTGGGGAGGAGACAAGTTTCGGAGAATTCAGAGGGACAAGAATCCCGTGGGGCGAAGTATCCCTGGATGCGGCCTCCGGGACGTCCCGGCAGGGACCCGAGGGCTAACTGGAGGGGGGGAATCCTCTGGGGAGAAGAGGGGGTCGAGAGAGAGCCCCCCCCTCCGCCGAGCCCGGCCCTCCCCAGGCGCCGCTCAGGTCCCTCTCCCTCCAATCTCCACAAACGGAAATAGGCGGCAGCGCGTCAGGATCCAGCGGAAACAAAACACTGACGGTGGCCGGTTAGCGGGAGAGGGAAAGCCTCGAGCCCGGGCCCGGCCCCCGGCGGCGGCCCCCGCTCGCCAGCCTCGGCCCCTCCCAGACTTGGGCCACTCACCCGCTTTGGGAATCAGCCTCTTTCTCCTACACGGGTCTCGGAGCCAACTGACAACCGTGTCGCCTCAGGCTCTGCTTCCTTCGACTCCCCCAGCAAAGCCACGGCTCCGGCCAGGCTCGGACCTCGGGGCCTTTCTCCGGCACCCAAACAGAGATCAGAACACCCCCCGCCCCGCTCCGGCTCGCCGGGCGTTTACGGGTCCCAGACTACAACTCCCAGAACCACCCCCCGCCCCTGACACCCAGAACCGGACCCGCGGGGAACAAACCCTTCACCCCCGTCCTCCCCCTTCGGAAAATGGAGGATCACGGGACCACAAGACCTCCACCTATCCCGAACCCTTCTACATGCATTCTCCTACGCTCTGCTTTAAACGTATTAACAACAACCTAGAAAGGCGACAGGGAGAAAAATAGCGCTCGAGTGCGCATGCGTACAGATCAATGGTTTCCACGCGCGGGCTTTGGGGGGGGGCAGAAGGAAAGGGTGGGAAGGGCAGGAAGGGTAGGGGGAAGACGGGATAAAAAAAGATGGCGGTGGCGGGGTGTTCGTCACAGGACCCGGAAGCACTTTCCGTTCCGTTTCCTCCCGAAAAACTCGCCGTAGAACTCACCTAGGTCGAGGAAAGTCACCGCGGGTGTCCAACGTTCCTCCCTCTCCGGTAAGTAGCGAGAGCCTGTGGCGGTAGCGGCGAACCATAATGCAATTCGGAGGGTGGGGAGGCCAAGTGGGGCGGAGCAAGGGCCGGAAGTGGGACGCTGGTCGCTTCCAGCGCTCAGGCGTCCGGACCGGGTGCAAGGTGACTGTGACTGAGCGGTCGGGCCAGGTAGGTCAGGCTCGTGCGGAGCTCTCGGCGTCCGAGGGACCCCCCCCCCCCCCCGAAAAGCTGCTTCCCCTTAGGCCTCGTGTTCTCTGGAGAAGGGCCGGGCCCTTTGCCCTTGGGGCCCCAAGCCGCGCTTCTTAACTTGTGAGGAAAAAAAAATCTCACTGAGCTGAGCCTGCAGGGTGGGGGTTGGGGAGGCCTGGGGATATATGATTGTCTTGACCGGGAGAGGAAGGCCGGCTGTGGCCGACTGGGGGTCCAAGGTCACTCCCAGGACAAGGTAGTGGCCAGGGAAAGGGCTCTGGGCTTACCTGCGGCTTCCCGCTCGCTTTGGTGCAAAGTGCACAAGAAGAGATGGAGAGGGTGAAAGGTGAAGTGCTCTTAACCTTTCTGAGCCCTCATCTCTAAAATGTGGGAGGCATGGATTTCGATGGCCTCTCGAGATCCCTTCTAGCTCTAAACCTGTAATAAAGAGCAGTGGTTAGGGATTTAAAAGTTCTTTAACTTTTAATTCGTGAGTGTAGAAGAAATAGATTCAGTAAGAAAATGGACATATTTAGGTAAGTTGCAGAATGAAGTGTAATCGGATATTGATGAATATGGTAATAGTTGGCGTTAACATGCCCATTACATAACTACTCTAACATCCTAGCTGGTAATGGAGCCCCAGTGTCCTTATGTTTTCTTATATACAGATTTTGCTAGCATTTAATGTTTTGACCTCATTTTTTTTCCGCTAGTTAACCCTTGACCACCTCCTGGTATGTGGCAGCTGAAATGTCTAGAGAGTTTTAGATCTTGATGATCAAGTTTTAGTTCCTTATGATTATTCATTTCTAGGTTCCTAACACTAACTCTTTGTAGACTTTTATATGCATAGGAGTATAAAAAACTGAAAGGAAGGGATTTTAAACATGAAAGGATCTTGGAAATATGAGAGTAATGGTGTGTGATAAACATTGTTTCCTGTTCTTCGAGATTTACCATTGCTTACAGAAAGTTCTTGGTACAGTGAAGCATATTACATGATGTTGTATCAAGTTTTGGATGAGTTTATAATTAGAATCCCATTGTACATTGCCATTCATTAAATCTATCTGTTTGATTCTGTTAATTTGTCTGTAGGATCACCATGGCTTTTAAAAGGCTCTCCAGGTTTTCATCTCTTGTTCAGTCTGCAACTTCAGTGTATTTTCGAAGGAACATTGGTGTTACAGCTGTTGCATTTAACAAGGAACTTGATCCTGTTCAAAAACTCTTTGTAGACAAGATTAGAGAATATAAATCCAAGAGACAGTAAGTAGAAATAAAATATTTATCTAAATATTCAAAGTGTATTTTCTTAATTGCAATAAAAAAAATCCAAGTTACTGACTTAACACATATACCAAAGTAAAAAAGGAGGGCAGGGAGAGAAATGGGTACAACTTTGAAAATCACACCCTGTGCAAATGTATTAAAATATACAAGAATCTGCAGAACTGTTAAACTTTTAAGGGAATACTTTATACAAATAACTGCCTTATAATAAGTTATTTTTAGTAGTTCAGTAACTAAATTGGTGTAGACTTAATCCAGATGAAACTTTTAAAAGCAAATCTATAGTAAATAATGATGTGTGTTTATACATTTTTATGTGTTTGTATATACACATGTATGTGCAAAAGATACACACAAAGTAGATACCAGGTAATCTGAAAGGGGAAGGCACTAGCTACTGGGAGAACTAGAAAAACTTTATACAAACCCTTCCTCCCTAATTTATCTTTCCATCCTCCTTGTATCTTAGTACCCTACCCACTCCAGAAGAAAAAGTGCCTTCTCTGGTCCTCACATGCATACTGCACTCCCATCTTCTGTCTCTGCCTTTAGTTATGGTCTTCATCCACAACCCAAAGGCACTCCCTTTTTACTCCTGCCTCCTGGAATCTCTCTCTTTAAAACACAACTCAAGTAGTGCCTTCATGAAACCTTTCCTCGTTCCCTAAATATTAATGCCTTCCTTCCCACAGCTGACTTGTACTTATTTGTATTTTTTCTCTATTTGTACTTACTCTTCAGGTACTTAAAAATGTACTATGTTCTAGGTACTGTGCTAGACAGTAGAAATCAGAGCCAAGTCTTCTGACTTTAATTCCTTTGCTCCTTTCTTTATACCACACTATCTTCCCTGTATTGTGCTCCTTACTTCATGGCCATAAGAAACAGTGTGGTTTAATGGGGAGAGCGCTGGCCTTGTAGCCAGGAAAACCTGAGTTTAAGTCCTCCCAGGGCCTGTGAGACCATGGGCAGATCTTAGAGTGTCTTAGTGCTCCAGGTCTAAAATAGAGTTCCCTATACTGATAAAAATCACAGGCCAGGTCTCCCCCCCTCCCCCAAATGTATTTTCAGATCCCCAGATACAAACTCTCCAGGGACCTCTTGTTACTTGGTGGTAAAATGAAAATTATTGTGTGTAAATAATAGTATGAGTTTTTATTTTTTTGTGCATTAGGGCAGCTGGAGGACCTGTTGATATAGGTCCTGAGTATCAACAAGATCTGGACAGGGAACTATTCAAGCTTAAGCAGATGTATGGTAAAGCAGACATGAATACATTCCCAACATTCAAATTTGAAGGTAAGTTTTAATTTTCTAGTTAAATCCTGGATTAGTGATTTATAGGTATAAACTTAGTTTGGAAGAGCATTTCATTCCAAGGGTCCTTGGAGCAAGCTAGGGATATTTTGAGATTTCAAAATGACTGGTTATTGACAGATTTGTGGTGTATTTTTTAAAACCAAAGTTGTTTAGTCAAATAGATTTGAATTTAAACAGATTGAATTACTCTCCCACTCCAGTAGGATGATGTGATGTATGTGTACTATAGCATTTTGAGTATTGTATTATGGAAATTTACAGCAGTAAATTGACCATCATGTAGTCAGTATTTGTAAATTGGGAAAAAAGTCTTTTTGTACTTTTGAGGTATTTGACTGTATTGACCATTCCCTCCTCCTGAATACTCTTGCCTTCTACTCCTTCCCTCCTATCTCTTTTTGTGATACTTTCTCCTGGTTCTCTTCCTATCTGACTATTCCTTACTCTCCTTTGCTTGTTCATCATCCTCCTAAGTAGGTGTTAGTGCATTTTAAATAATATTACACATATTATAAGCATGAATTATATCACAATAATTATAATATCAACTGACTTACCTGGTTCTTCTAGTCCATGGTTAATTATCATACCGGTGTAGCAAATTTATATATCGAGCTCCAGTCACTGTCCTCACCTTTAGACTGTCTTCATTAATTAGCAGCCTTTTGGGCATTTTAAACTGAATACCCCAGAGACATCTCAAGCTTCCCATGTCCAAGACAGAATTCATTATCTTTCCACCTAAATCCTCTGCTATATTTCGCTTTTCTGTCTGAGCTTCTTCCAGTTCTCCAGATTCATATTTTGGCTTTAGCCTTGCCTCTTTACTCTTGCTTACACTACTTATCCAGTTAGGTGACAAATCTTGTCATTTATACCTCCATCACATCTGTGACATTGTACCTTCTCTGGACTCATGCCGCCTTAATCCATCACCTCCCATTTAGATTTTTGTAGTAGCCACTCCGTTGGTCTCCCTGCCTTAAGTTTCTTAGTGATTTTCCTTAAGTATAGATTGGAATATGTCATTCTCCTACTTGTTAAACACTGGCAGTTCCTTATTGCCTCTAGGTTCAAAGATAAATTCTTCTGTATTGTTTTTAAAGGCCACATCATGGCCCTGTCTTTCCAGCCTCCCTGTATGTTACTCCCCCACCCACACTCTCTTCAATAGAGCCAAACTGTCTTTCCCTCAGGTCCTCACACTCCAGATACGTCTCTCTGACTTTGTACTTGCTCCCCAGTCCTGCATTCTTTTTTCGCTTCTATTTTGTAGAATCTCTTCCTTCAAAACGCTGCTTAGATGCCACCTTCTTCATGAAGCCTTTCACAGTTCTTTTAATTGCTAATGTTTTTCCTCCCTAACTACCTTGTATTTATTTTCTATTTATATTTATTCTGTGTGTAACTTATAAATATACTAGTTGTCTTTCCAGATGGAATGTAAACTTGAGAGTAGGGATTGTTTCATGTTGCCTTACATATAGAAGGTGCTTAATAAATGTTTGTTGATTGATTAGGTATTGAAAGACATAATTAAACTGTGGCTGAAAGCATTTTTCCTGTTTAGTGTGGAAAAGCATTCTTTTCTTTAAAAAATAGAAGCCTTTGCTTGATATAAAACAGTGTGGAGAAGCCAGTGTTATTTTTTTTCATGGCCAAAAAAGTTTCTTTTTATTGCTTTAGAGACATTTTTATTTGAGCTTAGTTGTTACTTTCTGTTGGTTGGTTGGCAGGTACCAGGTGTTAAGTGTTCACTTAACAGTTTATTTACAGTGCATAACTTTGATTAGAGTGCTTTAAAGTTTATCTACATTTTATTTATGTACATTATCTCTTATATATAATTATCTTATGTACATTATCTTTAGAGTCAAGAGAAAATAGAGGTACTGTAAGATTTAAGTGATTTGTTCAAAGTTGCTCAGTAGTAGAGCCACATCTTTGGACTCTAAGCCCTGTGTTCTTTCCATTTGGTAGTTTTGAGAATATAGAATGAATGGGGTTTTTTTTTTCTGGATTTCTGGAATTTTTCTCTTAAAATGGAGAATCAATTCAGTTCTCCTACCCATATTTGGTGTTAGATGCTTTTCCAAATAACTAATTATGATAAATTAGTATCTAACCAAGGAAAAGGAATATGAGAAAGTTCACCTGCAAAATTTAGGCATCTATATGAAATGTGTTGAGTAACACTTTTGACAACCAACTCAAATCCTCAGATAGA